AGCCGAAACAACCTGTCAGGAAGAGGAAACTCGATTTTTCTGTCCAGTCGACCAGGTCGAAGGAGAGCAGGATCTAAGGTGTCATGTCTGTTCGTGGCCATGATGACCTGTAAGAGAGGTATTTTCAAATAAATAATCAACAGTGCGAGCATCCCCGAAGGAGAGGTGGTCCTTTGGAGATGCTCGCACTGACCCAACATCTCCTAAATAAATTTTTGGAAGCTCACAAAGCAAACGGCATTTTACGAAACTTCTTCTTTCGCCCATTACAGTAACAGTGAAGATAACACTACTTCACATCAAAAAAATATTATTGTAACATATCTCTTTACATATAAAGACGATACTTTGTGACAGAAACACATGCATTCATGATAGCGTTAATATAAGCCATGAGGTTATAAATGGATACTAAATGATCATGGCACTTCAGACTTTGATGAGAGAGGAAACCAGTACGATATACGATTAGGTCCTTATAATAAAAAAAAAACAATCATTCATCTTACCGGCTCTGTGCGTTTGTGCGTGCGCATCTTCTCTACTATTTTTTCCCCAAAAAAGTGAAGAAAAAAATTTAATTCAATGGAATGGCTTTCTATACCTTCACATTAGTGCTCTGGTCGAATCCATCCATTTGGTTAAGAAGCTCCAGTAATATACGTTGAACCTGCACGAGAACAAAATTGGCGAAGTCTGTAATTATCAACATTTTTACCTCTCTATCAGCTCCTGTTTGAGCATCAAATCGTTTCGTGGCAATAGCATCGATTTCATCGATGAATATGATTGAAGGTGAGTTTTCTTTAGCAAGGCGGAACACGTCACGAACCATTCTGGGCCCTAAAATTTGGTTATTGACAAACATCCAAAAAGAATCCATAATCAATGGACTGACCTTCTCCAAGATATTTCTGCACAAACTCTGAACCAACTACCCTGATGAAGGATGCTGCTGTGTTGGCAGCAACAGCCTTGGCAAGCATAGTTTTTCCGCAGCCAGGGGGACCATACATGAGAACTCCACGAGGAGGATCAATTCCAATCTGACACAGTTTTATATATAGAAAAAAATGTAGTGAAGGAGAGACATGCATTCAGAATTTCTCTAAAAGATTTGATCGGTTCAAAATTTAACCGCAATCTACACGTATGCAACACCACGCGGATGCAATTGGGTCAATAAATATGGGTTCTCATTTCAAAGCTCATCGCCTACTCTTACTTGAAAGTATCTTCCCATATGTAGGTTATGCCTGCAGAAATTAGGGTATCGCGGTAGTAGTACTTTCATTAGAATAAAACTAAACTTTCTGACTTGACCGATCCGTAAAACTGCTTAACATGCGTTCAGATCTTTGTAACACTCAAGCGTTCACCACGTGAAAACTCAAAGAAGATGTCCTACTCACAGAAATCATAATTTGGGAAAACAGATGTTAAGTGAACATCTTGAAGAATTCTTTGATAAAGAGCAGTTTCTCTTACTCCGTTACCTGTTTATAGAGCTCCCCATGGGTAAGAGGAAGTTCAACGGCTTCTCGTACTTCTTGCTTCTGCATGTCAAGTCCACCAATATCAGCGTAAGAGACATCGGGTTTTTCATCCGGACGGAGCATCTGAGGACGAAATAATTAAGCATTTAAAGGCTGATTTCGTGTCACCAACTTGAATGGAACTGTCAGCTTCAGGTGGCAGAACGTCGACTAATGCATTGGAATACTTGTGCAGAGCGACAGAACAACCTGGCTTTAGCAACTCACGATCGAGGATTGATAGAACTCGCACATAATAGTTTGAACCTAAATATGATATGTGAAAAAATGCGTTTGAAACACAAAATAGACAAGAATCATGAAAATGGAGAATTTTTCACCAGTTGTGCTTCCCACTATTGCGTGATCTTGATCGACTGCCTCCAAAAACTGTCCTATGACGAGAGGAACGGATTGAATTCGCTTCACCTGCAAGCATGCTGTAGGAAAAAAAGAACAGAAAACAAATGACTGGATAGCATAAAACTGTAGTAATCTGAACATCTATACTGAATAACTGATCAAACATAGAACGATTGTTTATGCAGTGCCTTCAACAACCACTTGTGACGATACTGTACCAACCTCTTCTTGCG